ATGCAGCTACATCAGCGTAAGGTCTTCTAACTGCAGGGAATCGAGCAGATGCCTCTAAATATGAAATATTTTCTTGGGACATGACCAGTTTAATGCCTTTTCTGCCGACTTCCAAAAAGGAGCCGGTACTCAATTCGACTGTATGTTTTGTTTTTTTTTCGTTTTTTTTTTATGTGTGTTACCTCAGAACTTTTTTCTGGGTGAACCGATTTCGATGATTCTTTTTTTATTTGAAAGCTGGTACTTCTCGTGTGGTCCCATATGAATTTGATCAAGGTCAGACCAATAGTTTTTAAGTTATTCTTAAATAACTTATATTGAAGTCGGCTGTACAAAATTTTTAATTTTAAATTATTGTCTAGTATGTTCAGAGCAACTTTTATCAGTTGCCAAGTGATTAGCAGAGCAGAACAAGCATGTTGGGATATCTGTAACGTAATTGTCTCCAGTGTGTTCTTTTGAGCATTTGAAACAGCGTGGCTTTGATCTGCACTGAGCCTTTACATGTCCAAAGCGACAACACTTCAGACACTGTATGGAAGGGAGTATATAGGTTTCGACAGGAATTGAGGTGTAAAAGCAGTATAAGTGAGAAGGAAGCTCTTGGCCTGAAAATGTGAGGACAACGGTTTGGGTGGCTACCCACTCAATATCATCGCCTTTCTTTACTTTTCGGTGTAATCTCCTAGCCTTAATAATTTCTCCTCTACCTGGGGGAAGTTCCGACTCACACACCAACTCCTCCATGGAAATATCGGTTGGTATGCCTCTAACAACACCCATTCTGGTAACATTGAAGGTTGGAATGACTGCTGATAGTTTATATTTAGCAAGAAAGGATGATTCGATAAAATTATTGGCATCTGTAGCAGTTTTAAAAGCTATTGAGACCCTGTTACGACCTAAATTTGTTATGCTTTGTTTTTCAATATTGGAAACCTTGTTTTGGGATAGGATATGGCCGATCTTGACAGGTCGGATTGTGTAACCAGATGAAGGATCAGGTTCTATATGCTTAAGGTGAATTGTAAAAGGCCCTTTATCACTATCTGTGTATTTTTTCTTTTCTAGAAAATCAGGGTGGGTGTAAATGGTTTGATATGACGCTGAAGGCGTGTCATCATGACCAACTTTTTTTTTATGAATGCTTGATGTTATATCCGTACATTTTCGTTTAGAGGGACCGAAATTAGCTGGATTGTCTTTATCCGGTGGTTCCGAATCCACCCCGTCAACGTCCATCGTGTTAGTTAAGAATACATAAATTGATTAACTATCGCTACTCACCAACAAATACGTAATGAACAACACAACACAAATTTATATAATAACAAACACAGAAGACGGCAAAGATAATAACGAAGCTCAACACAAAAATATATCCGAAAATCGCTGAAACACGTGTGACTACCAATCACTCTGACAGCAGAATCTCAAGAAATTATTATTTTTTTTAAAACACGTGAAGCAGATTTGATTATTGTTTTTGTTACGAGTCGTCAATCTACTTCAATGTTTAGAAATTTCGAATAAACAGCATGTGTCGCAGTCGTATGTGAACGTCGCCGTCCATGTGTCAAGACTGAAAAGCTTGTGGTGTAAAAAATGTATAGGAATGTGTGGTTTTTTTGCTTTTTTATTATAAAGTAGTGTATATTGATGTAAATAAATTACATTTATTTTATTAATTAATGATTTAGTTGTTTAATTTTCACGAATTATGTACAGAATACTATTAAAAATTCGGTTGCCTAACTTTGAAATTAGAATAATAAAATCTCTTAGGTTGTATTCAACTTAGATAACTATGGAGTAATAGTAAATAATATAACAGTTCAAATGACATAAGTTTTATACATACCTTCCATACAATATTTTAGAGAAATGTCTAATTTAATCGACACGCTCCGATATCGCGTCGATTACCTCCTAAGGCCCTAGCAGACATGACGCTCTCGCAAAATCGCCGCCACCAGACTAGGGGGTAGGTGGTAGCACCTAGCCACCCTATCTATTAAAATAAGGATTTTCATACAGTCTATACTATTTCTTGATTATAGTTAATGACCTTCCGATAATCTTAAATTCTGTTATCCCCTCACATGTCATGACACCCGCAGGGGGCAGACAGCTTATGCAGGCCCATGTGTCAGCCCACCCTGTGTGCCCATTTGGCATTTAAACACGCCTTGCTTTTAACCTATGTTGTTCAAAGATTAAAACAGCGTTTTATCTTTGAACAATGTAGACCGTCCATTGTATAATGTTTTCAAACGTTTTCGAATTGAACATTTTCGATTGTTTTAACAGATTTTTGTTTTGCTGCGTAAAAGTAAGTAGATATTGAAAAGTTTTGGTGAAAAAAAAGTATTGAAGGGGGTGTGATTTTTTAATCTCTTGATATAATGTTGTATTGTTATGGAAATAAAACAAATATCTTTTTATATAATGGCTTAATTTCATAATCCTTATGGCGGCTGTACACGCTCGTCGAGACACCATGGTGCCCTCGTCCCGTCGCGTCGCGTCTCGCGGCGGCCCTCTTTTGCTCTCGGAATCGTGGCGGTGTTTTGCGTTCGAGTCAAAGGGTCTCGTGAGTCTAGTGAAGAAAACGAGATGGCGGCTGTACACGCTCGTTTCGTCGCCTCGCGTGCCTGTCGTCGCGTAGAGGTTCGACACGAGAGCACACTATGTACACACTCGATGTATCACTTGAACTCCGAATGCCCATTGTGATGGACATAGAAACTGTTGCTGTGTTTTTCCTTTGCTATTTTTCATTATAATTTTTTATATATATCCAATAAAAAGGAAATTAATGAACCATGGTGGATGGTTTCTATTCACTGTAATAGAACCATGTAAGTTCCTATACTGTATTTAACAATATTGAACCATTTTTTTTTTGATAATTTTTATAATTATCAGAAAACGAACGAGTGTGTATAGGCGCGCTCTCGTTATCATCGCGAGGCTCTCGAGACCCGTTGAGTCGAGCGCAAAAAACCGACAGGCTTCTGAGAGCGAACGAGTGCTGCGAGACGCGACGTGATGTGACGAGGACACCATGTACAGCCGCCAAGAGCGCGCCTGTATATTTAGGACATGTACTGTAGGGTTCAATATTGTTAAATAGATAAAAATATAGGTAGTTATATGCTTCTGTTACGGTGAATAGAAACCATCCACTATCTTTTGCTTCGTCATGGCTTATTAATTTTCTTTTAATGATAAATGCGTAAAAGATATAATAACTAATAGCACAAAGGCAAAACGCAGCAACAGTTTCATCAGGTCGCAGGTCTATCGCAACGGGCATCCGGAATTCAAGTGTGTACATGGTGTGTTCTTGTGTTGAACCTCTACGCGACGAGAGACACGCGAGGCGACGAGACGAGCGTGTACAGCCGCCATTACACTTTATGTACAAGAAACCGGCAATATTACTTAGATACATATATATATACCGAGATTGATAATATTATAAAAATAGAAATTAATACTCCTAAAGTAGAATCAAATATCTTAATTCATATAATTCTGAACTTGACGTGTAAAAACATAAAATGGTTGGGCATATAAAAGGTTATTTGCCATTGATATTAAGCTCTACGAAAGTGAGAATGACCCTCGGGATTCTCAACTGCAGTGATGCAATGCATAAAATAAAATAAGTATTTATCTTATTACTGAGTCAAGTATATTTTTGATTAAATATGTAAATTTATTACTTTGCTGCTGTTCTCAAGTAAAGTATAGTGGACCCCTCCTTGCTAATCTGCACCCCCTTATAACCCAACATGCCTTTACTATGTAGGTACAGTCAAGTCGCGTTATGAATCCGCCACAGGGGAAGGTGTCTTTCGTGAATATGTAGAAAAACAGGTTGCAATTAATTAGCGCTATCACGAATGTAGCCTGATTATTATTGTGCAAATTGTCTCAGTTTAAATGTGACTATGGTAGCGGCCTGGCGGGCATTAATTATTTACTTTTTTATTATTTTATATTTGATATGTTAGGACTTCAATATACATAATACAGTCTACTCTCAATAATTTAGCAATCAATAATTTGAAAATTTTTCCCAGTCCCTTGAAAAATACTCGATATATTGAATGAAATCAATATTAATTGGTTCCCTCAGTAATTCGAAGTTGAAGGAATAGTATCTTGCCCGCCAACATGTAATAATTTGAAGTCTGGTCTTCCCTAATCTGGATAATTTGAAGTGTTTATCATGCACATATCTGTTGTTTACATACATGTACAGACCTGTAAATTGTTTATTTTTATACTCTTTATTGCACACAAAATACTACACAACACAGCAAACTCAAATTTATAAATGTATATACAATTAGGTGGCCTTATCTCTAAACAGCGATCTCTTCCATGCAAACCTTGCTGAAGGAGATAATTTTCATTTAAACATATAGAAGTGTGCATAAATAGTAGATAAACAAGCATATATTAATAGTACAAGGTATATATATTACATAAATGGGAGACTTCTTTTCAATATGAACATTTGTGAATAATTGTACAAATGTTCAAAATAATAAATCATTAATTTTGATCACTTTTGTTTACTTGATTTCTCTCTATAACCCTTGGTAATATATATTTTTTTCTGGTACCATGAGTTTCAAATTATCGAGAGTCGACTGTATTACTAGTATATAATGAAACTATCTGCTCGGTTGTAACATACTATGCAGACATGATGCAATTTCGATCATAACACAATGTGAAATCAAATACACACTACAAAAATATGTTTGCATTTCATATGTACTATATTTATGGTCAGGTAGGCCTCGATAATAGCAATGTGAGATAATCCTTCAATGGGTAATTAAAAAATAAATTTATTTTGTCCTAGTAAATAATCATTGACCTATAGTACAGTACAGTGTTGCTGTTTCTAATAACACATCTACTTAGAATTTCTTTCGTCAATATAATTGAATTTGTGAAACATTTACTAAATTTTCAAGGGTGGGGATGGCCAGGAACCGATCCAAAAATGGCAGCTGATCCGTCTATGACAATGACACCTATGATGGATGGGTATCCAGTTGCACCTGACAATGCTTCAGCTATGCCAGGGTAAGAAATATAAAATTTATTTAAAAAAAGAATTTTTAAAATAAATTCTGATTCATATAATTATCTTTTACGTGTTAGACCCACACTGCAGCTGTATGTTTGAATGTTATGGTTGTAGCAGTCATCAATGGGTCATCGCGACTGGGGAAGGACCACACTCACAAAATACCAGCATAAAATAGCAGCTCAATACTGCTATGTTTTGTATGGTGAGTGTAGAGAACCAGAGACCCTATTTACTGGAAACAAGGCATTCCATCTTAGTCCTCTTTTAAAAAAAAAATTGTTAAATAGATTAATTTGTATTGTCACATCACACTGACAGTCACCTAGAATACAAACAGCAAGCATAAGTTTCAAAAAAATTTACCCATACTCTCAATGGTTATCAAATGATTGATATTCTGCTTTTCACCATGCTGGTAATACTGCTTTTCACCCAGACTGTAAATATTGGGCATTTTTGTATGGATTTTCACCCAACTGTCAGTTGCCAGAGTGATGTTTGTTGAATAACTATATAATGTATGAAATTGCAATAAGACCACTATTTAATGCCATAATCATAAAACCTGTTTTTTAAGGGTTATATATCTTAATGTTTTGATTTTGCCATTTGGATTTCACTTCATAATTAGTGAAAATTAAAAATAAACTCTTTTGCTCTTATTATACGCCAAATCAAGTATTAGATTAAATAATATGTTTTCCTTTTATAGATACACAACAACAGGGGCAGTGACTACACCAACTTTCCAGCATGGCTATTGGACAGCTCCACAAGTAGAACAAGCAAGCAGTCGAAGTAGTAGTAGAAATCGAGACAATCGATCTAAAAGTAAAAACAGAGATTCAAAATCATCTAGAAATAGATCACACAGGTAAATTTTGACAAAAGTACTGAATTTAATCATCACTTTTCATTGATTTTTCTACCGACTTAAAAAAGGAGAGGGTACTCAATTCGACTGTGGTTTTTTTCTGTGTAACCTCAATAACTTTTTTCTGGGTGATTCGATTTTGATGATCCTTTTTTATTTGAAAGCTGGTGGTTCTCATGTGGTTGTGGTCCCATATAAATTTGATCAAGGTCTGACTAATACTTTTTTAAGTTATTCTTAATAATTTATATTGAAGATGGTTGCACAAATTTTTTTGATTTTATATTATTCAAAGTTAATTCCTAATTTCATAATATATAACAAAAGTTTGCCATGTATTGGGTTCATAGGAGAATGCACTACCCCATATCACCCCATCGCGTGGTAAGTGGCAACAGGGGGAAATGAAAAAGAAAAAGGGCAGCAGTATTTATCTGATATTTTAACATTTAAAATAATGAAAAACTGATGTTTTTAACCCGCCTACCAAGTGGCGATATATTTGACAACCATGACAAATATCCTCCCCTATGAGGCAATCTATAAGGGGGTCTATGCTCAGGAGTGGACTTTTGATAAATGAGGCTTTAATAAATGATGTTGAATGAACAAAAGTTAATGAAACAAGACTAATTACTAATTATTCATAGTCAATGCAGTACAATGCTATATGTTGACATCCCTCAAACGATAACACAGCTTGACCAAGGCCATTTGCATCCATTAACTCCGCTACTCTACCACAGAATAAATAATAGTACTACGTACAGTGTTGCACTCCTTTGATGATGACTGCTTGCCGATGTTTTAATAGCCTACATAGTTATTATTAATTAGATAAATCGCGCACGCAAGCTAAATAAAACTTTATCGCTGCGCGCGAGTGTCCTTATTACTTTGCAACTTTCCGTGGTTACTAAGGGATGTTAATAAAGAGTAAAAAAATTCATTGTGAAATTGTAAGTAAGTTACTTAGGTAAAGTACCTATTCTGACTATGATCGACCATATTTCCGCTACTATGTGAGTTCTGTGATGCCCAACCCATGCAACTTGCAAGGCCATTCGTCGGGAATCGCGATGCTTGGCTCATAAGAAATATATAGGTAGATAGTATAAACAAGAAATAAACCCGAAATACGATTCCTAGCAGAAATGTGATCGTATTCTATTTAGTTAAAAATCTTGTAAACAAAGTTTTAATTTTAGTATTTTGTGTTATTATAACTAAAAATATTTTAATTACAAAAGATAAGTATAGGTATGTAAGTAGGTGCTTTTATACTGAAGTAAACAACTAAATTTGTAATAAAATACTTAGGTATTAGGTATTTCTGTAATTAAATTATTACTTAATTCTTTTTTCGCTATAAGTACCTATGTAACAAAAAAATTAAATGAATGAAAAAGATATAATATTTGAATCCTTTTGTATGGTCATTAAGCATCCATCTCATCTCCGCAACAATTATAGAAGGAACGATGCCATTATAATTAACATTAGCTCTGTAACTAATAATTGTACATGACATTAACAATAATAAAATGAACATATTTTAAACAAATTAAAACACATTTCTGCTATGCTATGTAACAAATTAAATTAAAGATTATTATTGAGGTTTTAAGAATCCAAGAAATAATTGAATATAATATCTTCCATCCAATCCTTATGAGCCTATCAATGTCCACTGAACAGGCCTCCCCCGTAGATTGCTTCATAGCTCACAGGGAGAATATTTGACATAGTTGCCATGCTTGGCACGCAGGATTGGTAACCACAGTTTTTTTATCAAAATTAAATATCCCTCTGTCGCTTCTTACATCAGCTACGGAATAAATTGAGGTAGTAGATATTCTTATAAAACCGCTACACAGTAATTTTAATGAGAATATAATATACTATTATAACATTATGATGATAAGCTTGTTCTGGGAGTATCTTGTTTATACTAGGTAAATTAAATAACTGGAGTGTTATGATCACGGAGCAAATACAAAGAGGTGTAATTAGATTTCACTATGTAACAACGCGTGACAATTTGCGGGGTGAGGGGGTGTTAAGCCCCGCCCGCTTAACCATTTCCATCTACCGATAAATAGTAGAACTACTCGCAGCATTCCCTATCGATGTTGTAATGTAGTTTAGCTACCTTGACGATAGATGGCGGCCTGTTCACAAAATTATTATAAAAACAGCTGTAAAAATAATATTTTGGCGATTAAAATTCTTTAGGACTGAATGTAAAAGAAATGTCAGCACCTTCATATGATTATTTTACCAATACTTAGCTCTACGCACCTTTATATTTTTAGTTCCCCTAACACAAAGTGTCGCCGTCTAGTATCGAATATATTTAATATATTTGAAAACCGACACAGAGATTTTTCTAGAAGTATTTTAATAAATTAGGTCTAAAATTACTTTCATTCAGAGCGTCTATCTGAGTAGTTTTCACACGATAAAACATAACACCTCATCCTTTGCGATTTTCGGCACATAAGCGCACATGGCGAACGTTGACAGAATACTAACGTTAAAGCCACGCTCACTGTGATGACGTCACGATCTAGTTAGAATCACAGTGCACAGTTGCCTAGGCAGTCTCCTCTTTGTATTTGCTCCGTGGTTATAATGATGCCATATACATATGCCATGTGCAACACAAACATGTGTTGTATTAATTTCAAATTAAACATTTTAATGACCCGTTCCAAAATACACCTAGCCCGATATTTACTACAAGATACACCTATACCAAGAGCTACCAACCAAGAGGGTACTGTATGTTACATTAGCCTCAGCATAGTCTCTACTTTCAGTCACACATTTACTCCAAAAGTTGTGACTTCTGTGATTAATGATCAATGAAATGAGCATTTTCTAAAGAAGTTATCTATACTACCAAGCTAATTTTAAATTCATCACCAAATTGAATGTTAAACTGAGCGAATTGCTTATGATTTTTGTAATAACACTAGCTCGCCAGGCAGACGTTGTTCTACCCTTTCCAACGACCCTTCCTATAAAAATCCTTAAATTCGCAATAAAAAATTTTGAGGGTTATCGCGATAAAATCTTTCAAGTTGGACCAAAATGCACACAGTGTGCAAAATTTTATTAAAATCAGTTCAGTATTTTAGGAGTCCATCGCGGACAAACAATGTGACATGTAATTTTTATATATAAATTTAACTTCATTATATTCACAGAGAAAAAGTTCCAGTGATACCTACAGTAATGAATCATATTGAGATGCCTGCAATGGGTGGAACTACAGCAACTATAGATGCTGCTAAGAGAAGACAGCTTCCTGCATGGATAAGAGAAGGTAATTCATCATTATAGCTTTTCATTTCATTTTCAATCAAAAATAAATCTTATTATGTTATTATTTGACGCTTAAAATTTATGAGACTTGATAGTATACACTATTGGCAAATCAAGAAATCAACTAAATTGGTTAAATAAATAAATGTATATAACCTCCAAAATACCATGTTACACATATTAATAAAGTACTGTAGTAAATTTGACCATGGACTGGTGGTGTAAGAATAACTCCATATCATCGCGTGGGTGTCGTAAGAGGCGACAGATGGAAACAAATCAGAAGATGGGCAACAGTGTCTTCCTAATAACGACTAATAATAAAAAACTACGGTTGCCATGTTGCACTCCAAGCGTGGCAGATATTCCCCTATGATTGCCTCATATAGTGTTCAGTAAAATATAGAGTTCAAATAAAGAGTTCAGCAGTTGAGTTTAATAGGCTGTAACAGTAACACATTAAAAAAATACAATAAAATTAGTTACCTCTACCGCATTTTTATAGTTATGTTCGCCGAATATGATAAAAAATAACTTTTAGACTTCATCATCATCATTACAGCCCTTCATAAGTCCACTGCTGAACATAGGCCTCCCCCAAGGAATGTCACAAAGTACGGTCCTGAACCACCTGTATCCATCGACTTCCTGCATATCTTACCAGGTCGTGACTCCATCTAGTGGGGGGACGCCTAACACTTCGTCCGCCGGTACGAGGCCGCCACTCGAGAACCTTTTTTCCGCAACGGTTGTCGGTTCTTCGAGCCGACCCATTGCCACTTCAGCTTACTAATCCGTTGGGCTATGTCGGTCACTCTGGTTCTACTGCGGATATCCTCATTTCTAAGTTTATCACGCAGAGATACTCCGAGCATAGCCCTTTCCATAGCTCGCTGAGCGACCTTGAGCTTCGTCATACGGCCAGCAGTGAAGGACCACGTCTCAGTACCATAGGTCATCACTGACATCATGCACTGGTTGTACTTTTAGACTTGTACCTAGCAATCTAAGTATTGTCGGTTTTGTTTCATCTTACTCATCATGTTTTTTTCTCTGTTACCTATATGTATCTCATAATGTTGTTATTTTCTTTTATTCATATTCATTTTTTGCCTAATTTTAAGTAAAAGAAAGTCCCACTGCTGGGAAATAACCTACTGTTATTTCTGAGACAGTTATTGGCATATCATATGCTGCATTGCTAGATATACAAGTTTCCACACGATGTTATCCTTTACCGCCGAGAACGATGTGAATCACCACTTAAAGTTACTATTCGGTTGCTTACCATAATGTAAAACCTTTGAACCTCTGAACTACAATGGCTCTGCCGAACTTATTAATATCAAATTAAAACACATAATTTCTTTATAACCAGGTTTAGAAAAAATGGAAAGAGAAAAACAGAAGGCCATGGAAAGGGAACAAGAAAAAAAAGCAAGAGAGGAAGCAGAGAAAGAAAAGAAGAGATTAGAAGAAGAAGAATTAGAAAGAATGAAAGCAGAAGCCAGTGGACAACCAATGTTACCAGCTAAGAGCAAATTTGTATGTTTTTTTTATTAGTGCTTCTGAAAAGTAAAATAAGTATGTTAGTTTAATACAAGTTAATGCTATACGTCCACTATGCGGGCGCGTCGGGCCGCATCGCAAAAATATGTCTGCTACATTTTGTATGAAACTACGTCCATCGGAGATGGAACAGGACAGATTTTTTATTGACCTATCTTAGGAAAATAATGGGAAGTTAGTTTGCTTATGTAGATCTTCATGTAAAGTGGTATCTAATTTTTCAAAATGTTCGTAAAACATGCGAAAATACTCAAAGAATTTTACTTGATGAAATTCACCACACCACAAAATCTTACTTTCGTACATATATTATGAAATCAAGTTTGTCAAACAAGATATAAAATTAAAATAATTCTTGATCAGATCTTTAAAATGGTCTCACTACTCGCGTGTCACAGCTACAGGTCCCGTCACGTATAAAGAACGCTGAGCGACAGTGGAGGTGATGTACTATGCTATAATTTTATAATATAAGGGTAATTGTTTTATTGTAGAATCATATACTTTACTGGCTACTTAGAACTTTGGAAGAGGTTGGAATTAAAAATAGATAACATTTACTTGAGCATTATTTTTTATTTCTGTCGTAAAATATAAAGTAGGTTGTAACAAGAAAACTTAAGCTAAGGGTGATACCCTCAGTGGTCCATTATATCGTCTTGGGTTACATGTAATGCAGATGTCGATGGTGTGTTAGTGTTACTGGATGATACTTCATCATCACTTTCATCTTCGCTTGAGCTTCCGTCATCAGAATCATCATCATCAACGCGAATGATAAATGTTTCCGTCATCAGGTCGACCACATAGTAATTTTTTCGGTATTCTTCCTCAATACTTTTAACTTTACTGTACAATTTTTCGAAATTCCCTTTCTCCCATCATATTCACCTTTTTCGTTCACTAGTTCAGTCATAAAGCAATAAATATAAATCATTTTTCTTTCTTTTGTTTTTAAAACCATCGTCGCGCGTCGTGCATAGAAAGTTGTGTGTGCGACTGTATTTTTGGGAGCAAACGAAGCGCGGGAAGCGTGGGTCAACTGACGAACCCCGTCGCCGCCCCCTTCATACCATCAATTTGATCGAAAAATCGCTCAGTGCTCAGGTACAAGGCCAGCATTCTTTTTACGTGACGGGACCTATACTTAAAAATCCGACTATGCAGCGCGGCCGGCCTTGTGTAATGGACACAATATACAAAAATACTCGCCGCCCCCCGTCTCTAATGGATACCTAGCTAAACAGTCAACTGATGGTAAATGGCTATTTAAGCTAAGGACATTAAATCGGTTGCAGGTAGCAACCAATTTAACGTCAAACAAAAGTCCCATCTACACATGCATTGTCATCTCTGAGGACTAAGATAAACCTGATAAACTGTAATTATAGTGACTCTTGGTACTCTTTATATCGAACACTGCAGCAGTTATATTAGCTGACGCACTGCTACTTGGCAGCAGAAGTAAGAAAGATGGTAGCAACATAAACAGATACCTAGACTGAAATGGAGAGTCTTACCACCTACCGTACACAGTTGTGGTTGAATATGTGTTGGAAGTTTATACGTGGTACTTTCTACGTGGTAGAGCCATGCTGCAGCTATATTGATAGTATAGTTGTGGCACGAAAGGGTTGGTTCGACGGTGGAAGGACCACGCTCACAGAATACCAGCTTAAAATAACAGCTTAACACTGCTGTGACCCTTTTTACTGGAAAAGAGGCATTCCATCTTAGTCCTCACGGGTGACAACGCATCTGCATTTTGATTCGCAAACGAGGATAGATGTAGATGTCTATGGGCCACAGCAACCACTTACCATCAGGTGAACTGTGTAAAAAAAAGTAACTATGGATAAATCTAAACTTTAGAGAAACTGACTTAGATACCATTTTTATTTATATGGGGTAGAGCCACGCTGCAGCTATATTATGGTTGTAGCACGAATTGGCTCACCTAGGGAAGGACCACACTTTCATAGAATACCAGCATAAAATAGCAGCTTAATATTACTGTGTTTCGTAGGGTAAGTGTAGAGAACCGGAAACCCTTTTTACTAGAAATAGGCATTCCATCTCAGTCTTCAGGGGCGACAACGCATCTGTATTTTGATTCTTAATTGAGGATAAGTCTACATACAGCATCCACTTACCATCAGGTAGACTGTATGCTCGTTTGTCACCCGTATCCTATATACAGGGTAATTTTGGAACAACTGACCAAATTTGCAGAGAAGATTTAGAATAAGTAATATAGGCAAATGGTGAGGAAATATTAATTTTAAAAAATCTAAAAGATTCTGTCCTTTTTATCTTTTAAATTTAAAATGAATGGTAATGCATTATTTTAACTGATTTTACTGCGCACGCACACATTCGTCGACAAGAGTCAATCGGTAGGCAAAAACGTTATTGCTCATAAATCACATTCAATTTGAGATAATTTTAAATAAAAATGGAAGCGTTATTTACTCGTATTTTCAAAAACTGCAATAGTTATTTATATATTTGAACTTAAGTTTACTATTTGTCTGCTCTTTGAATAATAGCCCTGTATAAAAAAAAACACCTGGTAAAAGTCCATTGCTGGGCGTAGGTCTTTCCAATTGTAAGCACAATTTGCCTTAACCACTACAGTTGGCAAGCGATTTGGTAGTTACGGTACCAGACAGGGGGAAATTAGTCAAGCATTGGCTTATAATTGGTAAAAAAGACCTTTTGTATCTTTAATGCTGCTTTTGTGGTTATGTGGTATATAACACTATGTTCTAATTTCGTTTATTGCATATTAAGGACTCAGATTCTGAAAATGAAGATGGAAACAAGGAAGAACAGCCTCTACCTGAACCAGAGCAGAGTATTCAGGAAGAAAAGGAACCTGAGGAAGAAGTACCTGCTGTGAAAATAGAACCTGAAGAAAAACCAACCTTGGTCAAGAAAAGTAAGGAGGAAATTATGCAGGAAGTTGTAAGTGTTTTATTTATTTAATATTTCTACTGTTTGTATTCAAAATGTTAAATAAATCAAATAAAAAGTCTCCAGGCCAATCTGGGGTAGACAAAATTTCTATCATACAAAATATTTAAGAAAGTCTAAAAAATGTGAAAGTGTTTTTTACACGGTACAGCTACACCGCAGCTATATGTATATTTTAGCTGCGGCACAAATTGTTCAGCTCAACAGGCGTAGGACTACCCACTCATAGAATACCAACCAGTATGAAACAGTAAAATAATGCTTGTATTTTGTATGGAGAGTGTAGAGAACCGCAGACTTTTTTTACTGGTAACAAGGCATTCCATCTTTTCTCAATCGGCTATGAATGTAGATGTCCATGGGCCGTAGCATTCACTTAACATGATGTGGGCTGTGTGCTCGCTTGTCACCATTATTCTATTAAAAAAAAGAAGTAAGTATACAGTGAGTTAGTTCCAAACATAGGTATTAATTTAATTGAGATTGTAAAAAGGTCTGATGGTTTGTTAGTAGATTTAAAATTCTTGTTTTAGAAGTGTTTAATTTTTTAATAAAATTAGACTTGCAAACTAGCAGCTATCCATTTAATTGTTAACAAGTAACTGCAGAATATGGTTGCCTGTAATAATTTAAAAACAAAGCTCGTAATTTCTTGCCAGTCCTAAGAATAAAGTAAGTGTATTGTCTGCTATCTTCTCTAATCACTGTAGTGTAACACAGGCTCGGCACGCACTTAACTAAACACGTCCACTCTCGCCCGAGGCTGGACTTCGGGAGGTCTTTGGGACCCTAAATTTCATAATGCTCTCAACGTACTAGTTGAAGGGTTTACTCCTTCATGTGTAAGCCTGTGTCCCAGAAAACTCACATCCTGCGTTTTATATATGCATTTATTGCTATTCAGCACTGCGTTGTTTTTACTAAGTACCTGTAGAACTTTCTTTAGTCATGCGTCATTTTCTTCTTCACTGTTCCCGAATACCAGGATATCATCAATAAAATTGACGACCCCTTCACAGTTTATCAGCATCCTTTCAATGATCTTCTGAAAAATCTCGGAAGCGCAGGTAATTCCAAGCATTATTCTTTTATATCTATATAATCTTTTGGGGGTTATAAAAGTCGTTATGTGTCTGGATTCAGAGTGAATTTCCACTTGATGGAAGGCATTTTTTTATGTCTAATTTGTTAAAATATTTAGCTTTCTTCATTTTAGGCAAAAATTGTCCATAGTAGGCAGGGGGTGGTTTTTCTCGCAATATAGCGGCGTTCGTACATCTCATTTCTACGCACAGACGTAATTCACCATTTTCTTTCATGATTGGAACATTGGTGAAACCCATTTAGACGGGCCTTGCACTTCTTCAATTATATCACTGTTTAGTGATTCCTTAATTTTGATTGCAACCTTCTCTTTAATGGGGATCGGTACTCTCCACTTGATTTATCCTGATACCAAGTTTTAAGACACCCAGATGGACTGCTGTGTTCTTACCCAACAGGTCTCTAGTACCCCCCGAAATCACGTAAATGGTTGTATGTTCCTTTCGTCCATCGACTTCGAGTATAGTTTCAAATGAACCCTCTATTGCCAAAGGAGAGTTACTACCATATGCTAATAATGTCTTGTCTGGTCTTTACATTTGATTAAAAGCATATACTTTTTTGCTTTTTTACCTCTTCCCACGTTTTGTAAGATATAAGGTTCTTGCGCAATTTCGAATTACACTTTTCCGCAATTTGATCTATGAGATGATCATCTTGCTTTTCGAATGTACACTTTTCGGCCTGTTGACGCAATCTTATCAAAAACTTCTCAAATGTTTCTCCTTTTTCCTGTTTTAGCAATCGAAAAACATGCCGCTCATAAACTTTGCTGCGTTTAGGTTGAAAATACTCGTCGAGGTTTTTATGGCTACTTTAAATACATCAACGGTTTCTGATGATTCGACATTGGCACCCGGTAAATTGTAGAATATTTCTTGTATCCCAGAGCCACCAAAATGCAATGGCGTAGCTCGTTTCTTGAGTGCTGATATAACTTCAGCTGCGTCCAGATAAATTAGTAGAGACCTTTTCCATTTTTCACACCTTATAGCCATATATGTGCTATCACATATATATATATATATATATATATATATATATATATATATATATATATATATATGTATATATATATGTGTGTGTGTGTGTGTGTGTTATCACATTAAAGTTGATAACGGCATTGATAAGCTCGTAATTTCTTGCCAGTCCTAAGAATAAAGTAAGTGTATTGTCTGCTATCTTCTCTAATCACTGTAGTGTAACACAGGCTCGGCGCGCACTTAACTAAACACGTCCACTCTCGCCCGAGGCTCTCGTGTAACTGACGCGGTGCGCTCGAGACAGTGACTTATATATATATATGCAAACACTACAGTAAGGGTTTTATAAAGTAGGGGATTAATGATAACAGCCTACCTGATGGTATAATTAAAAATCATTATTCAGATCTGTTCTAACCAATGAGGACTGAGATGGAATACATTATATACATTACGTACTATAAAACAAAGTCGATTCTCGCCATCTGTACGCTTAGATCTTTTAAACTACGCAAAATAATTTGTTGCGGTTTTCATCGGAAGGTTTATATACATAATTATATTGTATAATACATTTATTTATTTAGTTATTCTTTATTGCATTCCTTAATATAAAAGAATACAAAGGACAGACTTAATGCCTTGAGGCATTCTCTACCAGTCAACCCATATATATATATATATATATATATATATTTACGTGGTAGAGCCATGCTGCAACTATATTAGTAGTATGGTTAATAATAATGCGTAAAATTACAGCTTAACGCTGCTGTGTTTCGTATGGTGATTGTAGAGAACCGGAGACCCTTTTTACTGGCAAAGAGGCATTCCATCTTAGTCCTCACGGTGACAACGCATCTGCATCTTGAGTCTTTATTGAGGATAGATGTAGATGTCTATGGGTCACAGTTACCACTTACCATCAGGTGGACTGTGTGCTCGTTTGTCACCCTATTCTATAAATATATATATGCATATATATATATGTATATATATAATTCTTCTGTCCATATGTATGTAACTGCATACCTAAATGGCTGGACCGATTTTGATGAAATTTTGTGTCGGTGATTAAGTTGATTCGAGAATGGTTTGGATTCACATTTGGACCCGATAGGTGGCGCTGTTGTCGATATCCAGAAACCCGTGCGAAGCCTAATGCCTCATTACAAGTAGAAAAGTTCCCTGGTTATCCTTACCATTAATATAGCAGTCAACCCATTCGTATTGCAGCCGTAAAACAGCATATATTCACAATTAAGTAATGAGGAATTCTATCTTAGATCTCAGGGGTGACAATGCATCTGCATTTTGATTCTAAATCAAGGTATAATGTAGGTGTATATTAGTCACAGCATCCACTGAACATCAGGACAGGACTTCTATAAAAAATATTAGCTCAAAAATCACTCAGCGAGATTTATGGAGCTACACTCGGAGTTCCTCTGCGCGAAGAAATCGTCTTACTGACATAGGCCAATAGATCAGTGAGCTTAATTTAAAGGAATCAATTATGTAACTTAAAAACTCGTAAAAAAGTTTCTAGAGTTAGACTTAGGGCAACAACTCGCGAGATCATACGAGTAGGTGGGTACAAGTCAAGACCTTGTGGTTAATAGATAACTATGGATTATTTATATGTTTAGCAGTCGACTTATGTTAGACTATAATGTAAATAAGATCCGACATCTTGTCTTGGCTGTCCATCTAATATGTTTAATTGATACTTGCGTCTTCCATGAATGTGGTCTAATCAACCCTATTTAATGCTTTTGCAGTATTCTCTTTATGTAAGTGTTATCTAATAATTTTTTTATTTCACTAACAGATGTATGCGGTGCGACGATCGCTTACAGAAATCCTGCTAGAGGTGACCGACCAGGAGATTCATACGGTGAGCCAGGAAGAATTGGCCCGATATAACGCCGCACAAGGTATTTCCATTAATATAGGCTTATATCAAACGGCCCGACGGTCACTCTCAAGATTTTGCTCTAAACAGCGAGAAATTTGCGCGCACTGACTCTCTATGTGATAATATATTATATGTTATAACTTTGTGAAGAAGAATTGTGATGTGTAAAAATGTGTCTTAAATCATCCCTAATAAAGTCTTATTTCAGATGATGCCTGTTGAATGAATACATTTATGTGTGATTAATGTTGGTTTTATTTATATGGTAAAAGCTTCGCGTCTCAACGCCATGAAAGCAAGCAAGTCCAAGGCGCTCGCCGCTATCGCCAGTGGACTCGGTAAGTTCCGTTTTTAAGGACGTGCTCATCTAACTATTTCGCAAACTACCCTCGCGAAAGAACTAAAGAAATTGGCGGCAATTTATGTTTTGTTTTAGTTTGCCAGATAGTTTTACATGTATATGGTGGTTTTGAATGGTGAAGAAGATGAAATATGACATTATTTATCCTAAAAATTTGATTGGCCTTGGGACTATGTGATTATAACGAAAAAATATATAGGGCATAAACATAACTGCAATAACATTAGTTAGAATTTAAAAAAAATGACAATGGGATATGAATTACTATTGGACTCTTCGTATTAAAAAAGTTTATCTAAACCACCATAGACGACAATTAAATCTTTGATTTCAGCTGCGCTGCGTCTAGTATGTTTTTATAATATTGGCAATGTGATTATAAACGACTGTGTTCAGTAATGTTTAGTGGAATTGAATTGGTAAGAAAACACAGAATTTATTATAAATATTAATCACATGTGGTATTATATATTGCTGTATAATTAGCGGCATTTGTTTAACTTTTAAAAACAGGAATTTATAGTTATGATATTATAATCTTAAGGTTTTTGGTGCATGTTTTGGTTAAGAGATTTATAAGAATGATCGGTAGATACATGCAATTAATATTCAGGCATCAGAGACAGTGGCATTTGTACATATTATACAATATGGTTTTTCTGTAATTTCTTTTATGATTAAAACTCGCAATAAATTTCTTAGAAAGTGTTCTATTTTTATGAAATTTATGAGTTACTAATTGTGTTTAGGGAAATTTTACTTTTCATATCGTACGTTAGTCGTTTACGCAAGTAACGTCTAATGTTTAGTTCAAACACGCAGTTATAGGTTTTTTTTAGACCTGTTATAAAATCATACGAGTTTCGGGCAAAACTGTTTACAGTAGTTTATGTTCTTTCTATGGATTTTACTGTATGTTGAAATTAGCGACTGTAATTTGCGTTTTATTGTGACACGTGAATTTTAAAATTGAATTTATCGCAATCGGCTATGAAGAAACATAAATTCCATGGGTTTTTTCGTATTTCTTCTTAAATATGTGTAAGTTGGTATAATTTTAACTTAAATTTTACTAAACTTTATCGCAAAATATTACTGAAAGCGTCCATACAGGGCTGGGCGCGTACGAGAGCAGCAGCGACGGAAGCGGAGATGAAGACGATCAGAAAGACTTGTCGGATCATCAGTTGCAGGTGACGCTTTTATCTTATACAAACAGCATATTGTAAAAAATGCAAACAGTTATCAACGCCTTTGATGTTTGCATAAATATGAGTTCGATATATCCAATACGTAATTAAATAACTGTTATACACGTATAATATATCGTACTGGTATGCCGCACAAGAAAACGGCTCTTAAAAATAACAACTTAATCAAATTAAATTTATAATTAACCCAGGTCAAATTCTATAATAACTTCAAACCGTTTAGTGGCAGTATAAGAATATCCACTAACCCATATTGTTCCGTGGGTTTCGTAAGAGGCGACAGAGGGAAACTGAAACAACTGAACAGATCACACGGCAGCATCTTCCTGGTAACAACTTAAAATAATAAAAAAAACTGCGATTACCTACCCGCCTGCCAAGCGTGGAATGTGGAAACCAAATTTCCTTGTATAAGGCAATGTATGGGCCAGGCCTATGTTCAGCAGACTTAGAGGCACTTATGTATAATGGAAGGAATCTATCTACATTCAAGATATTCCCCGACGCTCTAACTGATGACGCCAGTCGTAAAAATGAGACAAAGCGAATAGCGAGAAGAAGTGAAAACAACAGTGGTAGAGCCGGCTCGCTGCGCACGGATGGGCCGGCTCGGACCGGGGCGGTACCACGACCTCACAGAATACGAGGTGCATTTTGCGTAAACAATAGCGCGCCCTAATTTCGTTAAAATTTGATTGTTTTGAACGTTTGCGCCTTAGTCGACCGCTGATAATTATAATTGCACAAACTGTAGTCAAATCTTGCTTCATATCGGTATGTAAATACGATTTTACATATCTAATGTGCAACCGTCACCATAAAAAGGGTTGTCACAGGACTTTACAATTTAAATTAAACCTAATCATAAAATTTAATAAGTACTACTGTTTCATAGATTATCCACCATCTTGGATTTTAAAATGAATATAATTTTACTCATCTCACCCCCGAGAAATTACGAAAACTACACCATAGATTTTTCTCCAAAAATGTATGTCAGTCATCTTGTATAACAATTTCTTTTAAGCCCATATGGATAATATGCCAGTCGACGACTACTAGCAGCGTCAAAGCAAGTAAAAGTCAAGCGTGATGATTAACGCGAATCGTCCCTACAACTTAAAAGAGGCTCGTGTATCGTAATAATATAATGTTCTGATTTGAAAATGAATGTCATTTTTAGTGATCAGCAGTAGCAACTCAATTATGACGACTTGCAGTCTCTCACAGCTCTCGTCGTATTCGTCTTTGTAATCAATTAAAACAATAAAAACTCGTCAGGCTTGAAAGGTGTCCCGAGCAATCCTAATAAGTGGCAGCTCGGGCTTGTGAACCCCGCCCCTCTCTTCTCTGTCTATCAGTGCTGTCCTTGAAAATGTAGTTCCGGTTGTTCTTAGTTTAAAATATTTCGCCTTGCTTCTGCAAAAACGATCTCCAAATCGTAACCAGTGTACTGCTTCAACTATCTCATGTAGACAAAGTTGTATCAGTGCACTCAGTACACAGTAGGTATAAAAATATTTAAAAAAAACGATCATGATGTTTGTCAAACCTTTATGCGTACAGCTATAGTCATAGTATGAGATCGCTATCAGTCTTCTGTCTTCACAATATAGCGGAATTAACAATTTGTAATTAATTACGTCACCACACTTACGGATGTAAGATAAATTATCTTTTCTTGTAATAAAGTTTTTTGAATTATAATTATTATCTTATATATATATATCATACTTTTATTAATATTTTTTCTTTTAATATCTGACATAGTTGGACAAAAACTATAAAAGTAATAAATTTCTAATGTATACATTTACAAAAATAATCATAAGTCGTTTGTTAACATTTGATGAAATCTTGTGAATGCAGAACGCTATGCAAAAACGTCCATTAATAATCATATTATTTTCGTCAAGGTAAAAAAACTTATTGAAATGTTTGCAAAAATTTTGAGGTGAAATAAAATTATAAAATTTAACATTGTGGTGGTAAGAATTACAAATCTGCGCTTGTGAACACCTTCACGACAAATTACAGATACAAGTTCAATACATACATACTAAACCTTTATCTGTAATCTGGGGGAGGGCGAAAAACATGTTTTTGTTCCGCTATAAAGCCTAAGTGAGAACCGATAAGCACATTTATCATACCGCTACTTGAGCGAAACAAGAACTAACTTGATTCCTATAACAGTTTTTTGGTATTTTGGATCCGGAACGGTACTGAAAAAGACAACATTTAGAAACTCACTGAAGAAACAATTTCTGCTTAAACGACTCTTCTCTTTTGTTCCTATACTAATATTACTCAGATGATAAAATTTTGAGTGTTTCCACAATACGCGGAATCAGGAAGATTTTTTAAATTATTTCAATTCATACAAATTTGAACTTTAATAACTTGAGAATAAACTCTGTTTTCGAATCACAAATACTGTTATCAAGGTCCTAAAACTATCTTAGTTGCAATAGAAACAAAACTTTTTAATGATGGGAATTAAGTTTAATAATGCAAAGCAATAAACAAAAATTGTGCTCCGCGACTTTAGACGTAAAGGGCCAAGACCGGCGGCGGGCAGCAGCGTCAAAGTGCGTTACTACCACTAGAACTAGTACTATCGTCGGTACTACTATTTCTATATTTATACTATTGACGGCTCCTTGGCGCAGTGGCTTAGCAATAAGTTGCAGCACCAAGGCCGCGGGTTCGAATCCCGCACGGAACAAGTATTTGTATGGCCTACAAATAATTGTTCAGGGTCTGGATGTTTGTCGTTGTGAAATTTATGTATGTAAACTGCCCCCACGATACAGGAGAAAATCCTAGTGTGGAGGTAACGTTCTTTAAAAAAGAAAGAAACAAAATGTCGGCACCGGTAGACCTACAGCGGTAGGGGGTAAGCCCATGTCCAGCTGTAGGCTTTTACATGCTTATAAAGATGTAGAGATAATACTCAAAATCTAAAAGAAATTATTGTAATTTTAAATGCAATAGACTCCAAGATAACACACATATATACACGGATTAATTAGGTTAGGGGCCATTCATTAATTACGTAAGGATGATTTTGGCGATTTTTGTACCCTACCCCCATGTAAGGGTACTTAAGATTTGTCCCTCTTCTTACCTAAGATTCTATCATTCTTATTTATATTAAATTAATACGAGGTAATAATGTACTATAATCATTATTTATAACATTAATTTTTATTATTGACAAAAATGTTAAGTACACATTTAAGATTTTAAAATTTTAATTAATAATTTTTTTAAGTATGATGTAAATCGAATTGTACGTATAGAATGAAGAAAACCATTCGGCATCCGAAATAGAACTAGATTTATAATATTAAATTTCGACTTACAAAATATTACGTAAGAATGCCCCCCCCCCCCCCCCCCCAAGATGTAAGATGTATGTAAGATTTTTTTTAACCCCCCTCCCTCTCGAGCCCATTACGTAATTAAGAATGGCCCCATAGTATATTTTATGTTGCTATGCTACGTATATGTATATTATATTCTATATTATATACATATACGTAGCCAGACAAAGTCCTTGCCGTACAATTGGGTGTCGATCCCAGACAAAGTTATAAATCGTGAACTTTCTGAAATTACCCCAATTATTGTGCTTTTTATTTTTAAAACACGTTACTACGTACCAGGACTTCGTGTCGTCTTCTATATCGTGAAAACATATAGCCTACAAAAACTTATTCCCCTCAGGATTCGAACCCGTGATTCCAGAGTTTCGTCGCTAAAACGATAAAAGGCTTTGCTACCGATATCTATTATTAAAAAACAAATTTTTATATTTCGTGTATTTAGGAGATAATAAAGCGGAAGAGATTGGAGTTCGAGCGAACGGCGCGAGAAATCGAAGCAGAGGTGAGAAGGGCGGAACTCAGGGAAAACGCAGAAGAACCCACCACGCCTGTAGCCACACCCGAAAGGCCGAGGCGATCACGTGAGTCTTTTTGAAACGTAATACATACAAAGTTTATGATGTAGTTTTAAATGCATTTTACATTCAAATATAACTTGCCTAAATTTTTCTGATAAATATTTTTATTGCTGTTAACAATAAAATGCAATTAATTTTAACAGGTTAACAGATTTAATAAGATTGATGTTTGGTAATAAACACGATAAACATAATAACCGTGATTAACATGTTAATCTAGAAATTGCCTAATCGTTCTTATTTTAAAGAGTTTAAAATTGGATTTCTGTTCTACTTTCAAGGTTTAAATGCAAAAGAACAATGGCAGACTTTCATTCATAAAATTAGTTGAGAATGAATGGTAGCGTCTATATATCAAAAATATCTTAAAATGTTAAGCGTCACTCCCTTAATAACTCTGTCAAAAAATTTTGCCGTGAGAAGGCGTCAAAAAAAAAGATATTTAGATTTGAACCTTTTTAGGTTATGTCTTATGTCACTTGGAAAAAGTCATGTGTCCTGTAGTTGTTTGATGTTAGCTTAATATATTCTCAACATAATGTGCCCTACCTACATAATTGAGAGATTTTATATATTTCATCATCATCATCATCATCATCATTACAGCCTTTCATAAGTCCACTGCTGGACATAGGCCTCCCCCAAGGAATGCCACAAAGCACGGTCCTGAGCCACCTGCATCCATCGTCTTCCTGCATGTCTTACCAGGTCGTCACTCCATCTCGTGGGGGGTCGCCCTACACTTCGCCTACCGGTACGAGGCTGCCACTCGAGAACCTTTCTTCCCCATCGGTTGTCGGTTCTTCGAGCTATATGGCCGGCCCACTGCCACTTCAGCTTACTAATCCGTTGGACTATGTCGGTTACTCTGGTTCTACTGCGGATATACTCATTTCTAAGTTTATCACGCAGAGAAACCCCGAGCATAGCCCTCTCCATAGCTCGCTGAGCGACCTTGAGCTTCCTCATACGGCCAGCAGTGAAGGACCACGTCTCAGATCCGTAAGTCATCACTGGCAACACGCACTGGTTGCACAATTTCGTTTTAAGGTTGAGGTATGTCTGACGAGAAGATGTGTCGTAGTTTCCCTAACGCTGCCCAGCCGAATTGAATCCGTCGATTGACCTCTCGGTCGAAATTGGACTTACTAGTCGGACTATTTGTATTATATATTTGCATACTATAAATGTATATTTCTGGCATGGCTCCAGGGCCTTTGAGTCATACAGTGACATTCTCAGAAGGGCTAGAACCCAGAGTCGTAAACTCAGTAAAAAAAAAATTGACATTTTGTTTTAGCTAGTGTTGCCATAACATTAAATGGAATTGCTACATATTACTATGATTGAGATAATTTATTATTGTAGGAAGTTCTTTGTAAGAGAATTCTTCTCAACCATATCAATTTTATTATTATTATTACTGATAGTACAGTTATTACTAATAATAACTTAATATAAAAATATTTTGTGTTTGTGTGTTGTGTTAGTAGTCTTACAAAGTGTATACGAAAATAGTATGCATATTACTATAATGACAACACTTGATTAGAGTAAAATGATTTAAGTCATTTGATATTCCCAAAAATGTTTGTTTTTTTCTATGGCTTTAATTAAAATACATTTTTATTTGAAAAATCATAGAAAAATCATAAAACTCTAGACGCAATAATTTTTGTCAACTATTTTTCTGCCATTGTTCCTTGATCTCATAATAGTTTTTAATATGATATGTAAATCATTTAAACGACTAGGGACTGCAACTATTTTCATAGAATAAGGATGACAAACCAACGCACAGGTCCACCTGATGATTAGTGGATGTTATAGCCCATAGACATCTACATCTATACTCGATTAACGATCCAATGCAGATGTGTTGTCACCATTGAGGACTAAAACGGAATACCTCGTTTTCAGTAGAAAGGGTCTCCGGTTATCTACACTCAACATACTAAACATTAAGGCAAGGCAAGGCAGCATTAAGCTGGTATTCTGTGAAAACGTGTAGAATTTTAATGGAATACTGTGGGATATAATGTATTTAAATTAATTATTTAATAAACTCCTAGTTTTATTCCCCTTAATGTTGTTACGACTGTCACGACTAACAAAATTCGACTGTTGTTATCGTTTTAGGATCATCAGCAACACCTCCTCCTATAGAAACCGAAACACCTGAAAAGAAACCAGAACGTCGGATATCAAAAGACAATAAAAAGAACAACCATAAATCTAGCGACAAACACGACGGTGTTAGGAGATTAGGGACAATACCAGAAGAAAAGGTAAAGAAAACAAATAAATGGGGGAAGACTCCGAGTCCACAAACGAAATCAACAAGCGATAAAGACAGTTCCAGTTCAAGTTCTAGCGATTCAGATGACTCTTCGTCCAGTTCCAGCGATTCATCGTCAGAGAGTGATCAAGAAGTGAAAGTTGCAAGATCAAAGAAACGTAAACGTAGGAGCTCCAGTGAGAGTGACGCAGCGAAAAAATCAAAGAAAGAGAATCAGAAGAAGATACAGAAAACCGATGAGCGAAACGCAAGATCTAAACATGGCGACTATGAAAAGTACGAGAAGTCGCGAACTAAAAAGAACGACGAACATTACGACAAACATAAATCATCGAGAAACGAAAGACACAAGGATAAATACAGAGACGATTCAGAGGATGATAGGCCTAGGAAGCGTTCTAAGCGTTCCACAAGTTATGAATCGCGGTCAGGTCGGAAGAGGGTGTCTAGGGATAGATCGGAAGAAAGGTCGCGCCGACGGGACAAACGATCATACGACAGGGAGAGTTCGAAGAGGGATAGGTCTTACGACAGATCGGGGCGCGACTACGAGAGATCGGGTCGGGATTACGACAGATCGGGCCGAGACTACGAGAGGTCGGGTCGAGACTACGACAGGTCGGGTCGAGACCACGACAAGTATGATAGGTATGAGCGTAGGGACGACCGGAGGCGTTCGCGAAGTAGAAGCCACTCCCGACATCGCCGATGAACGTCAGGGTAACAACGCGACAGGTTGTATTTTTGTTTTCATTTTAAATCTGTGTGATCCTGTTCGATTTAGAAATACGTATTGCAAATATTTTATATGGCATGCAGTAGAAGGAGCAGACTGTCCATTTGTTACCACTTTATCTGAAGTTGGTCATTAGTAGCCCTTTCATACAATATCTCATATAACATATAAAATACTGTAGCAAAATTTCATATTGCATTTTATAAAGGCATTCAATGAATCGTTTTATAAACGTTAAATTAAAGTTTATTAAAATACTATATATAAGTATTAAGTGAAATAATATTTTTTCATGAATATATATATTATATGTTAGAATATTTTAATTGCCTTAATTTTGCTAAGTGTGAATACCAAGATATCACGTAAAAAATTGTTTCTACAAAAAAAAATTGTTTCTGCATTTGCAATAACACTATATCACTATAATTTTCGTACGTACAGGGTGGGCCGTGAATTAGTTAACATTTGAAAAAATCGTATAAAAAAAACCATTTAACATATTTTAGAAATCGTTTATTTACGAGAAAGCTAATTAGTTGTAATTTATTTTTTAAAAATTATTTCGTCTAAATGACCACCGTTTCGGTTTTTGCACTCATCTAAGCGAGTCCTGAAGTTTTCGAATACTCTTCTGCAAAGAGACCGCGAGATCGCCGACATCTCTTCGATGATTTTTTCTTTAAGTTGACGCAGTGTATTCGGTTTATCAATGTAGACACTACTCTTTAAATAACCCCATAAAAAGAAGTCTGCTGGGGATAGATCTGGACTTCTGGGTGGCCATGGGATGTCACCCCGTCTGGATATCAGCTTTTCCGGAAACATGTCTTTGACCACCGGCAAGGACTCGTTCGATGTGTGACACGTGGCTCCATCTTGTTGGAACCATGTGTTACGATTATAGCCAGCAAATTCCAGTAGCATCGGTGCTAAGAACTCCCGTAACATTTTCACATACTCGGCAGAATTAACAGTAACTGAACGGCCTCGAGAATCTTCAAAAAAGTAAGGTCCGATGATTCCTTTTGCTGAAATTGCAGTCCATACAGTTACCTTAGGAGAGTGAAGTGGCCTCTCATGTTTAGCTTTAGGATTTTCGCTGCTCCAATACCTGCAATTCTGTTTGTTTACATGTCCATTTAGGTGGAAATGGGCTTCGTCAGAAAATAAGATGTTGTGAAAATTACTGAAACGAGTTAACATTGTTTCGGCATATGACTTACGCAAATTTAAATCATTAGGGTTTAGTTCTTGCACTAGCTGGATCTTATATGGATGTAATTTCAAATCTAATTTCAAAATACGGCGTAATGATGTGCGGGATAATCCTAATTCAGCCGAACGTTTGCGTGTCGATAAATCTGGATCACGTCGAACAGAAGCGGAAACTTGCTGCACGTTCTCTTCGCTCCGAGAAGTCCGGGGGCCGCCGGTTTGTTTCACATTTAGTGTAGATCCCGTCTCTTCGAACTTCTTCACCCATTTCTTTATTAAAGGAGCACTTGGACACTGACTTAAGTCGTGTAAACCATATTCAACGCGAAATAAGCGTCTCACAGTAATGAGCGAAAAGTCGTTTAAATAAAACTGTTTCACGCAGTAAGCGCGTTGCGGCCCCGTGAAGCGATCCATTGCGACTAAATTTCCAAGAAGCGAGCTAGTGCCCCCGCCCGCGCCCGCGCCCCGCGCGGCAATAGTTTGCGCGGTAAGTTACATTTAAATGTTAACGAATTCTTGGCCCACCTTCTGTAGAAGACACAAATTACTTTTCAAAATTATCTATGTTCCATTCGTGATCAAGAATAAAAGATAACTGTGTAAAGATATCTCTTCCAAAAGATGTCAGATATATGTTTTTTTTAAATCATGGTTATATTTCGTAAATTAGTTGTGAATGGAATCATAGTTTGTCTCCATTATTATTATCTTGTTCTGCTTAGTATGGTGTTTAAGTTCGAACTCTTTACGGATTTAATATTTAAGAATAGTTAATGCATTATTTCGAAGTTTTACAATTTCAATTATGAAATGACTAAGCGAAAAGGTTTTTAAATACCTCAAAATGATATAAGTCTAATACGTCTATGTGGTATCTTCAAGAAGGTAAAGACCTTCTTTTTAATGAAAAAGATTTTTTTATTTAAAAATAACTTGAAAAATATATTTCTGACATCTTACAGAAGAACATTAGGCTGTGATATATTATTTTTATTTTCTGTTACAGATTGGAGCAGACGTAGTAGCACTTGCAGATATTGTAAATATTCTAGTGATAGTGTAAAATTTTTAAATTGCGTTAGCATCAAGGCATTGCATTATTCCAATAAAAATATTACCTAATATATTTGTATTTAATCGCTTAGATCGTGGAACTCTTCTATAATGACACAAAAGAAATATCAAGTAAATATCAAAATACATTTGAAAAAATTTAAGTTTTTATATAAAGGAAAAGCAGACTTCTAAGAACAAAGAATAAAACAATTTCAATATATTACGAGTAACTTCAGAAGTCATGATGAATGTGTACAAAGTTTATAAAAGAATGAAAGGCACTACTGAGTCCTAGTCAACTCACAACCTGTTTTAGCGACGTAAGAAAACCAATTACGTTTTCATCACGTGAGAGTCTTAAAATAATGCCGGATTGTCAACTTAAGTGCTCATACACATATGCAGTCTGGTTATCCGAAGCCGTACGGCTGACCGCATGCAAAAATATATACGGAACATCTATTTCTATGCGCACTGCGATGTATCTACCCGCAAACCGCTCCGGTCGCTCGGTGGGCTATGGCCCGAAAGACGGCCAGCCGAACGGTTTCTATTCGCACTGTGCGGCTCAGTTTGCGGCAGTCCGCTATTTAGTAAGATTGTGTGCACGTGGTACGATTATGATGGATACCAAAAAAATTATCATCGAAATCTTCTTTCTTTGTTTTTCCTTCTTTACGTAACGTGTGTAAATGTAGTAAATAGCTGTAATTTCTTCTACGTCCATCTTTGAAATGAATCGATATGACCACAAATCGCAACGTTTCTTTAACCGCAGGTTACGAATGCGGCTGCCCGCAATCCGGTGGGCCGCATTCGCAACCGCATCCTGCGGTCGACCGGACGGCTAGCCACATTGCATTTATCCGCGTAGTGCATATGAGCCAGCATCCGAACAATACGTAATCGACTAGAAGAAAATAAGTGAAGAAATTATAAACACGCGGTGGGCCAGTTGCCGCGCGGTTATCAACAACCAGTGTATCTAATGGAGAAGTATTTTTTTTTAAATTAAGGGGTAAAAAATAGCAATCCCAACTCTTTTAACCCGACTGCGTTAAGCAAAGTAGAGTAATGTGTTTATCAGCCTATATACATATGTATGTGTGTTTGTTTCTTTGTGGCGCTCTGTAAACCAAATGCGTGGGCCAATTTTGTTGAGTTTTACGTCAATGGATAGGTCTTAATCTTGTGTGTCACTAAAGAAATATATGACAGTAGTCCAAATTCAATATGGCAACAACCAGACTCCATATTGTGAAAAAAATGAAAGTCGACGTACTATTTCAAGTGGGATATCATTGAATAGGTCTTTGAAAATCATCTTAAGTTTCTCTAACAATTTTTAATTTTAAATGACTATTTGGAATCTATAACTGCCGTAAAATGGGGTGAATAGACACAAGTCTGGTTATTTGATAAAGTTGTCTCTAGGTTTGTCTACAGCTCGGGAACTTTTACTACTGTTTATTATTTGCCAACATTTTCCCTTTATTTTGGTAACCTTTGAATTAGTGTCAATTTTGATGACAGTAAAGAAAAGGGCGGTTATTATAAACGTGTGAGTACAAGTGGTTTTATGCTGTGTAAAACTTTTAGTTAAACATCAAGTTCTTCAGTGTTTCCTTGTTGCAATTTTTTTTTAGGGATTTGAGTTTCTCATTTATTATTAATACAAACATGAATATTGATCGATTTTATTCTTTTAAATAGTAAAATCAGGACACTGGTATTTTTTCTCGAATTCGACGTGAATAGATTAAGGGGTGAATAAAAACGCCTTTGGGGTTAATAGAAACGAAGAAGGGGGTGAATAGATACGAATGAAGGGTTATTAGAAACGTAAAAGGGATTAATAGAAACATGATTTTTAGGGTTGTCAAAAACTATTTGCACCATTTACTTACCTACTACATAAATTAATTTAAGTAGCTAATTGTATGTAGTTACACATTAAAATTCCAAATTCTTGAGGTTTTACTATTACACCAGATAGAAGTTCCTCCAGTAATTATACTTAGTGTGCTCATATGATTTAGTTCTATCTTGTTGGTAAATATATAATTCATTATATTTGTATCTTATTGTTTAACAGAGACGCTCGGTACTTATACGAGTTAAAAAAAAGTATCTAAGCGGTGCGGAATAGGTGTGACGCGAATTATCAGCTTCAAGTCCCAATATTATGTCAATTTACATTTATGTTTATTGCTTACATAATTTTATAAATAAGTTATAGTGATTTTAAATCCCGCATTCTTACCTACTACTTAAAATAACCAAAGGTTATTAATCAAAACACGTAGTATTATAATTAGTGTTATATAGTTTAACAAACTCTAAAACATTTATTTTTATTTTTATTTTCATTACTTAAAAAAATATGTTCAAAACTATGTAAGAATTTATTTATTTAATGGCTTTATGTCGGAAATGCTTACGCTTCAAAGCAGTTAAATTACATTACTCTGATATTTTTTTATAGGATAAGGGTGACAAACGAGCACACAGTCCACCTGATGGTAAGCGGTTGCTGCGGCCCATAGACATCTACATTTATCCTCTATTACAAATCAAAATGTAGATGCGTTGTCACCCGTGAGGACTAAGATGGAATGCCTCATTTCCAGTAAAGAGGGCCTCTGGCCACCTGCATTCGCCAAGCGAAACGCAGAGGTAAACCTCTACTTCACGCTGGT